TTACTACAGTGAAAGCTTTGTTATCTGGCACTTGTGGGGAGTGCTGGTTGTGGGTTAATTGAATGTGCGGGATACTCAAGCAAAGGATTACATATACTCTGAAGGCAAAGGGTTAGAAAGCTTGAGGCAAGCTGAGGGAGAACAAGGCGCTGCTGCTGCTGTCAGCCGGCAGTGCCAGAGGCAGGCCAAGGGGAAAGGAGATACTACAGTGAAAGCTTTGTTATCTGGCACTTGTGGGGAGTGCTGGTTGTGGGTTAATTGAATGTGCGGGATACTCAAGCAAAGGATTACATATACTCTGAAGGCAAAGGGTTAGAAAGCTTGAGGCAAGCTGAGGGAGAACAAGGCGCTGCTGCTGCTGTCAGCCGGCAGTGCCAGAGGCAGGCCAAGGGGAAAGGAGAGCCTGATGATTGCAGCTGTCACTGACAGTTATCAGAAGCCCCACAATGGCCAGAAGCATTGAGCTATGCAGCTGCGAGAGTTGGGCGCATACATGCCTGAAGACACAGCAGTACTGTGACCTGGTTAACAAAGTATTCCAGTTAACACACTGCCAGATAAAAAAGCTTTCATTGTGCAAAGTTTTGGCATTTAAATCTCTGACAAACTTCAGGGTATATACAAAAAATCTGTGACTGACGGGGTTTTTTTATTCCTAAATGTCGTGCTTTTAATTAGGTGCCTTTTGCATGTCTCATCTGGCATGCAGTGAAAAACATGCTTCAATTTCTTTAGAAAAGAATTAGAGTGTTTTTTTTAAATGTCATTTGCTATATTTGGGTTCATGGATTTGGCAGGAAGCAGGTGAGCAGAGAGTGGGAGGGAGGAGAAGAGGGAAACATTAAGGAGGAGGTGGGGATTGGGTGGGGCCAGAGGTAGAGCAGGGGTGGTGTACGAGTAGGGCCACAGGCTGGGAAGCTCGCTTCCTTAAATGGCAGCTTCACCCATTGCAAATGGTGGAAACTTCTATACAAAGGCTAAAGTAAATTATTTTAACTACTCCATTTGAGTCTTCTAGTCCAGATTGTTCCTTTTCTGCATCCGTGCTTGGTTAAAGAAATTAAGCCATTGTGTTAACTTGAATTCTCTTCAAGAGTCAGATTAAGGACCAAATTCTTCAGTCACTTTGGACCCAGAATACCCTTTTGAAGTAAATGAGATCTGTATGTAGAATGGTTCCGGAATGAAAACCTTGATCCTGTAATCAGATCTGTGTAGACAGACCCTCATACCTATGCTGAGTCCCATTAAAGTCACTGTATCTCTGCAAGAATGCAATGGTACCCCCCCAAAGATTTGATTGTAGGATTGGAGCTAAGTCCCTAAATATCTGAGGGTACGTTTACACTAGCCCCCTAGTTCGAACTAGGGAGGCTAATGTAGGCATTCGAAGTTGCAAATGAAGCCCGGGATTTAAATATCCCGGGCTTTATTTGCATCTTCCCATCCGGGCACCATTTTTAAATCCTCCTAGTCTGAACTAACTGCTCGCAGCTACACGCAGCAGTCAAATGTTAACTCGAACTAAGTCCTTAGTTTGAGTTAACTGTTACACCGTATTCCACGAGGGTACACCTCATTCCCAGAGGGTATGTCTACACTGTCACCCTAGTTCGAACTAGGGCAGTGTAGACATACCCTCTGGGAATGAGGTGTACCCTCGTGGAATACGGTGTAACAGTTAACTCAAACTAAGGACTTAGTTCGAGTTAACATTTGACTGCTGCGTGTAGCTGCGAGCAGTTAGTTCAGACTAGGAGGATTTAAAAATGGTGCCCGCCCGGGAACATGCAAACGAAGCCCGGGATATTTAAATCCCGGGCTTCATTTGCATGTTCCCGGGCGGGCACCATTTTTAAATCCTCCTAGTCTGAACTAACTGCTCGCAGCTACACGCAGCGGTCAAATGTTAACTCGAACTAAGTCCTTAGTTTGAGTTAACTGTTACACCGTATTCCACGAGGGTACACCTCATTCCCAGAGGGTATGTCTACACTGTCACCCTAGTTCGAACTAGGGTGACAGTGTAGACATACCCTGAGAAAAAAGTATGCCCTTCTGCCAATAAAGTCAGAGAAGGAAATGTGATGAGATTAATTGTCACTAATTTCTTTTGTTTTTCCCTTTCTTTAGTGATATTCCAGATCATAAGCCTGATCATCTATCCGGTGATGTTCACAGATACCATCCCATTGCGGGGATCTAATATGTTCAGCTGGGCATATGGCTTTGGTTGGGGCAGCACTATTATTGTAATAGGCTGTGCTTTCTTCTTCTGCTGTCTCCACAACTGGGAGGATGAAATCCTGGGTAATATCAAGCCAGCATATTAATACTCTTCCCCAGACAGGAGTTGAAAAGCACATTGTAAACCCTGAAAGAATAAATAAAAACACTAATGATTACACCACAGGAGGCTTGACAATTGGATATTACAATCTTATTTTTCCAGACAGTTTTCAACTTGTATTGATGATGAGTTAGCAGAAAGGCTTGGGAATTTGAAGCAAATATTTTAGAAATGTTAGGTAAAAGATCAGATGGTTTGTATTTTCATATTCATATTTGATATGGATTTATTTGGGTCAGTCAGTATGTTGCATATCTCTTCATGCAAAAGTTCCAATTAATCAAGTCACTCCCTTCCACACATTTGTTTAGAAAGCCATATATAAAAATAATTTAGCACTTAAAATACAGGGGGAGAGAAACAGAAAGTATCCCAAGAATTTCTTCTCATCTCCATATTAGTGTACTGATATCCAATACAAAGTATCAGA